TGGTTTAATTACTATTGGAAAATGCTTGTCATTCCTCTGTAGCATCTGGTCCCCACTGGACCCTCATAATTTCCGTCACCTGCTCCCCCCACCGACCAAACTGTGCAGCTCTGCAACTGCATCCTGGCCCATCCTTACCCTTCTGCCCCCAACCCTCACCTCCTTGTACCCCAATATGTTTTAAAAAAAAATTTTTTTTTAATTACACACTTCAGTGTAACAAGGTGTCTCTTTAAAAAATGGCTTTCACAACCCGAATTGGAAACATTAGAGCACAGTGCTTAACTCCCAGGTCACACTGTAACGACAATTAATGGGAACCAAGAGTGGACAAGTGTCAAGGACAGACAGTTTCCACATGCGAGCTACGCAGATTCTTCCCCCAGAAGATGCCTCATATTTATGATGTGGTTGTTGCTCTTGTCGTTATGTGCCATCGAGTCACCTGCGACTCATAGCGACCCTGTGTACAACACCTCTGAAGCTTGCCCTATCCTGAGCCAGTCTCACTGACTTTGACACACCTACCATCATCACCCCAGTTACTGTGTTAATCCATCTCATTTAGGGTCATCTTCTCCTCCACTGTCCCTCCACCCTACCAAGCATGATGTCCTTCTCCAAAAACTGGTCTCTTCTGGCCATGTGCCCAAAACACGTGACATGGAGCTTGAAAATCCTTGCCTCCAAAGAGAAACTTGGTTTTACTCATGGTGGTCCATGGTATGTTCAAGACTCTTGTGTAGCACCATAACTCAAAGGAATCAATTCTTCTATTATCCTTAGTCATTGTCTAGGTCAGGCACACCAAGTCTCTACAATGACATCATTGCTCTTTAGCATTCTTGAGAGGTCCCTGGCTACAGATTTTCCCAGTGCAATCTGTTTTTTTATTTACTGACTGCTGGTGTCAAGAGTGTTGATTGTGGAGGCAATTATGCTGAAATTGTTAACAACCTCAATTTCTTCTCCATCTATTATGCTGCTGCTAATTGGCCCAGAGGTGAGAATCTTTGTCGTCTTGATACTGAGCTTCAATATGTATTAAAGACTACAGCCCTTGATTTTCCGCAGCAAGTGCTTGAGGTCCTCCTCAGTTTTCAGCAAGCAAGGTGACATCTGCATAATGCAGGTTGTTGATGAGTCTTCCTCCAATCCTGATGTCACATTACCTCACAAAGCCCAGCCTCCCAAATGACCTGTTCCACATACAGATTGAAAAGGTATGGAGACAGGACGCATCCATGATGCATTCCTTTCCTGATTTTGA